ATAATTTTAAAGATATTTAATATAACGTAAGCCCAGTTGTTTTGTACAAAAAATGGTCTGATTTTTTTTTATTGTGAAAAAATGGTCCTCGGTTCACATGTTCGCTTTCAACTTTGAGGCCAAACCCACTAAGCTGGGTAAAAGTGAGGTTAGTTGCCTATTTAGCCCCTGCATTTAAGGAACGTCACAAATAAGTATATAATATTTTTTTATATGGCTGTTTGGTCCTTTTTTTAACAATTTAAGGTTGGGTGATCTAAAGACTTAAATGATTTAAAGAATCTAATAATTTGGTTACGAATGAGAATATTTTTTTGATAAAATTACCAAGTGGATTTGTTAAATGAAAAAAAATATTATTCTAACATTCTGAATAATTTTAAAATAATTAATAACAATTTCGTTAATTTAACAAAAACCTATATAGAAAGAGATATAAAATATCAAATTGAACATAGTCTTTTATTCCATATTAAATCAAGAATCAAGAGAAACATGCACATTATGAAATCAAAATTTTCCGTGTCATCTATAGTAATTAATACACCATAAAAGACACTGCTTTATTTCTAGTTGCTACTGATTTCTTCTTCCTCAAATCCCATTTGATATAACGTAAAAGAAAAGAAAAACAATTAACACACAAAATTATCTAAATTAAGAGAAACATACACATTATAAGTTCAGCAAACAATTTAAAACCAGAATTGCATAACCAATTAACGATGAACTCATTCAACAATAACATAGTAACTTTTGAAGCAAATGAGTAGAAATATGAGCAAGTAGATGAGAGTTGGATTATTTCATATTTTTCAAGGAGTAATTTACATTGGAACCGAAAACTTATGACTTTCCAACCTCTCAATTTGGAGTGTGATATTTCTATGGACAGGGACGGAGCCAGGTTCTTAGGATAAGGGGACTTACATCATAATAATTGATTAAAATAATTTTTATATCAAAATATCATAAGAGTTCGTAAAATTCAAAAAAAATTCGAAAATGAAAAAATATCCTCTAAATAGAAACTAAATCGATTTTCAGTAGTATCACTAACCGAATTCAAATATAGGTCATACAAAAAGAATTGATGATTCTTTTTTTGTGTATGATTTACCTTATTATTATAATAAACCAAACCATAAGCATAAATTATTAATTACAAGTTACAGGAAGTAAAATATATAATAAAAATAAAAATGTACCATATAGAATTAAGATCTTGTTGATATAATAGTTTAGCCAAAACAAATTCTTAACTAAAATATTATACATGAATAAAATAGCTATTGACAATCAAAAATATTATACAACAATAAAATAGTAAGTGACGATTTGATGTAAATAGGGTATACAATCATTAGCCAATTAAAATAAAAGAAATAGGGTGGAGTCAAAGGGATTTAAGGTGACGTGGGCTTTACTTTTGGTCAAAATTCTCATACCCTCATTGTATGTATATATAACAATTGGAAGGGGCTCACTGAACGGGCTAAAAGTTTAATGATTCCCTTATTTTAATTTTTAGTATTATATACATGAACTTTGGAAGAGATTAGGGGGCAGAGCATCCGGCAGCCCCCTACTGCCTCCGTTTCTGTCTATGGATATCCTTTGTTAAAAAAAACACAATGAAAAAAAAACTAAAAAGGATTTCGTATGAAAAAATTATATAGGTTCAAAATTAGGGGAAAAAAGAGATTTTTGCAGTCAAAACCTAAAACATGACATCGTATTGACAAAAAAAAAATTATGTGGATATTTTTTCACGAGTGATGCCTACGAAAATTATGATTATTTGAACATCATTTTTTTGGATATTTTTTGAAAAAACAAAACTTAAGAATATTAGCAATTATGGGAAATTTCCCTTTGAGTTAGTTACTTTCACGTTATAATATTACGGAGGTGTTCGGCTCGGAGCGTTTGAGAACTTCTAGCTTCTAGCGTTTGACAAACGCTCTGTTTTGAACAGAAAGCATCGTTCGGCACTACAAGCTTCTAGCGTTTAGTCTAAACAAAACGCTCCAAATCCAAACGCTACTTTATATAGCGTCTAACAAAACGCTACAAGCTACAAACTAACTGTTACCCGCTAATTTTACGGAACACGCCCTACATATTTTGCTTCTATACTAAAAAAATATTACTATTTCGTCTAAAAAATTACATATATATAATAATAAGGTTCTAAATGTCTTGAGGCGTAACATGACGGCAAAGTCAAGCTTTAAGGTTTTATGAGTCATTACGTTTTTCATAGCGTAACTTAAGACGACACTTTTGTATACATAAAAAACGTGAAAATCACATAATTATAGATTGAGATTTCTAACATGTGCCTAAGGATAGAGATAAGAATCATTAATTATGGAAATATTACAATAATTAAATGTGAAAAACAATAATTATACAAAATATTTCTCAATGAAAAATGTGAAATGCATTAATTATAAAGAGTATTCACTATAATTAATATATTTCACATTTAATTATGATAAAAATATTTTCCATATTTAATGTTTCTTATACATGCCTTTAGGACACATGGTAGAAAATTCCTTATAGATTTATGTAAAATATATAATATTTTTAGAAAAGTTATATCAACACTTAGTAAAAGAAAAGCTTAACAAATACTGAATGATTTCATTCTCGATTTGGAAAAGCCAAAAAGAAAAAGAAAAAAAAAACGCCTTAAAAAAAAACTCGCGCCATAATGTGCCCTAACACGCGTCACACCTAACATCGCCGCCATGAAAGTTTTCGAGACAGCGTAGCCACGCCTTGGTGTGTGCCATGACGCGCCTTTTACATGTTAAATAATAATAATAAAACGGTACCTAAAAAAACCCTTAATTATTATAGTATAATTGTAACATCCACGTTTATCCGTAGATGTTATTTATATATATGTGAATAATATGAAACATAAACATCGGTTTCTTGTTTATGAAACCATGCTTTGCGTTTGAGATGGAATGATCATGTATTTGATGTTTTACTAACATCATAATCAATATAATTCTTTATACCAAGAATAATATAAAAC